TTCCACTTGTTTCTCCTTTCCTGTCACCAGGTAGAGCTCCAGGCACAGGGACCAACAGTTCCTATGAGGAGGGAAAGGTGCTGCCAGCAGGGCTCGGCATGGTGAAGACCATGTCATTTGTTGCCTGGGCTCCTTTCACCCTTGCCACTCCCCCAGCTGTTCATCCCTGTGCTCATCGGGTTCCCCAGCTAGCCTATGCCGAGTTTGCCCCATTCAGAAGCCATGTGGATGTCCTGAGCAGAAACACCTGAGGGCGCTGTGGAGAGGATGCCAGTGGCCTGAATCTCGTAAGCCTGTGAGCAGAGCAGCAGAGAGGTGTCACTAGTAGAGCATGAGTAAAAGAAATTGCACTGTACAGCTGCTTTCAAGACCCTAGTGGTCTCACCGGCTGTATCCCAGCAGCACCCCCACACCCCTCTGGAGGACAAGCTCAGTCCTGCCAGAAAAGGACACCACCTTGGACAGGTTGATTCACAGGGCAGATGGGGCAAAGACACAGATGGTCTCAGTCCCTGATCACTCCCTGAATTTGCCAGACAAAGTGTGCTCCTGAAGCAGATCTGCCAGAAGCCCTTGCCCCAGAGGCAGCACCAGGCTGAGACACCCAGGGCTCCTCAGCTAGGCCCCAGGGAGAAACCATCTCTGGAGGAACTTGGGCTGCTGCCTGTCAGCAAGGAACGTGGAGGGAGAGGCCATCCTGGCCCCAATCCTCAGCACCTCTTGTCCCTCATGCCCCCCCTTTGGACCACACTCGATTCCTTCTTCCATCCCATGCCAGCGCACTGACTGTCCCTGGGCTCTTCACAGGCATTTATCTTCCTCTCCTACCCCTCTCACCAGCTCTGCTGGGCCAGGGCTGGAGGGAGCCCTGCACACACACATGCATGCGCACATACACACACATGTGCACACACATGTGTGCACACACCAACCTCTCATATACCTCCCATCCCCACCACAGTGATCACTGCACCAGCCTGGAGCACTTCCAATACTCAAACATGTGTGTGACCGGCCTGGCTGGAGTGGGCAAAGGCTCGGGATGCTGAGCATCTCCTGTCCCTGCAGTCCCTCTGTGGAGGAAAGAGGGCTGGGGAAAGCAGCCAGGAAAAGGGGTCCTGGCCTGCTGTGTTTCCTGCCCCTCCTGGTCCTAGGATGAGAGGTGTTATGGCTAGGGATAGCGTGGGGCAGCTGAGACCCCCATGCCTTTGTGATGTTCAGCAACGTTCCCAAGTCTGCTGCAGAGAGTAAGAGAAACTAACTGCAGTGGGAGTCACAGTTCCCTGCAGGAGAGCAGCTGGAAGCTGCAGACACTGTTTTGCTCTTCAGAGAAAGGGATGGGGGAAGAGCTTCATGGCAAAGCCCATGAGAGCCCTCAGCAAGCAGAATGATTGGGCTGTTGTTGTGTCTTTCCTGGTCCTGCCTCTCACTGATGGTAATTGCTGTGCTCACAGTACTGCATAGAGAAAAAGAGTCCTCACACAACCAGGGGTTAAAAAAAAAAGAACCAGCCATGGCTGGGGGAGAGAGGGAAAGTGCATGGGAAAATGCAAGGGACCTAAATATGTCCTTCATACCTCATTTCTCCAGCTCTCAAGGACTTCAGAAGGAGAAGGGGAACTTTCAGCATTCCTCTGCCTTGCACACACTCAGACTCCCATGCAACCTCAGCATAGTTCCGTCCATGCAACCCCCTTCTCCCCTCCCCGCACCCACCCCTCCCCACATCTCTGCAGGGTTTATACTTTCCTGTGTTTGTGTGCGTCATTCCCCAGTGTTCCCAGCCAATCCTTTCTCACATTTCATGTCCTGCCCAACCCCAATATGCCTCATGCTCACTCAGTGCTTCCTCTTCACATATCTCTGGACAGCTACAAAAGACAGGTCCCTGAAAGGACAGGGGCTTTTTGCCCATGGTTCCCCGCTGGTTCTTTGTGGCCATGCTGGCTCCTATGGGTAAGTGGACTCAACTCACCCCTGAGCACCTACATCAACTCCACTGCTGCTGTCCCAGCTGCGTACCCAGTTGCTGGCAGTGCTCCATTCCCCAAAGCTTCCTGTGCTGAGGATGGGCAATGAGTGAGGTGGGCAGGAATCCCTCAATCTCCTGCAATGGCTGTCTATTTTTTCTTCTGTGCACAGCCCCCAAATGGTTCCTTTTTTGGACACAAACTGCCCAGGAATGTTTCTTGCCTATCGGGGAGATTGAAAACTCATCTGCTGATCTGAAGAGCTGTCGCATCCCTTTCGCTGCTCCCTAGCCTGTCCTGTTCCTTCTCACCCTCTTCTCTACCAACCCACGGTGCCTAGTTCATGTTTTTCCATTTTTTTCCTCCTCCTCAACACTCCTCCTTTTCCCTTCCAGCGTTGGCTCTGGAACAGTCCCCAGACACAGTGATACAACAAGGCCAGTCCGTGAATCTGAGCTGTTCCGAGAAGAAATCCTCCAGCACAGCTATGTACTGGTACAAGCTGCCTTTGGGGAAGGACTCCGGGCTGATCCTAGTGGTTTCTGCATTAGCTGGTGGTGCAGCAAATGTTGAGAAGGATCTCCAAAGCCATTTCAAAAGCAGTAAGATAGAAGGAGACAGGATGACCCTCTTGATAGAGCATGCCTTTCTCAATGACTCTGGCACGTATTACTGTGCTGAGAGTGAAACACAGTGGCTAGGCTGCTGAGGGAGCTGAGCGCAAACCTCCCCCTGCACAAAAGGGACCTGCTTTCCTCCTCGTTGGTGGTGCATAAGGCAGGATGATCCCTTTCCACTCATAATCTCCTCTGCTTCCTAGCCTTCCCTTCCTCCTCTTCTCAGACTCTGTGAGTTTATTTGTCCTGCTTTGTCTCCTTGCCACCCCACTCCTCCTTGCCTCCCTCTTCATTTAACTCTCATTTACATTATATTCACTTCCGTCAACCTTCTTCCCCTCTCTGCCTCCCTTTCTCTCCCCACCTTCTTCTTTCTGTCTCTCTTCAAGCTGCACTCCACAGACTTCCTCTCATTTAACTCCAGCCAACCCTGCTCATCATTCTCACTGTCAAGCAGAACGAATGTTCACGTGAGAAGTTCTTGCTGCACCTTTAGATAAAGGCAAGGCCAGGCAGGTGGCGCAATAGCCAGTACCACGTGGGAGGTGCCCACATGCTCCTCTGTTACAACGACCCTTCTGAGGTTATCCTGTGGCCAAGGGATATGTGCTGCACAGCGCAGGCCTGAAGGCCTCACTGCACATGCAGCACAGCACAGGCCTGCGCCTACTCAGGGCAACTGTTATGTGCATCACTAACTCCTCCATGTACAGTGGTCTCCGGGTCAGGATCACTACCTTCCAACCCTTGATCCACATACAGTTTACTTTTCCCAAAGATATTATATAAATTACAGATTATGTTAGCAAGCTGTGCAGCTAACAGAAAGTTTCCTGACAGGTTAGAGTGTTACCTCTGTCATAACATACACCAGTGCGCGGCACAGGCTGGCATGGGGCACTCCAGCAGGTTCGCACACTACAGCTTCTCATGCTAACGTACGGGCTTCTCAAGCCCTAAGCACAAGGCCTAACAGAGCAGGCATAGCCTGTTCAAGACCACTAACTCCTTGAATACCATGTGCTCTGCAAGGCTCCCAATGCACTGCCCTGCCATCTGCACACCCCAGGGAACCCCATGGGAAATGGAGACCCTTCCCATGGACATGTCAAGCACAGCCTCCTCTCAGCCGGAGTGCTGGGGGTGTTGTGGGGGTGTGGGGTTTATTCCTGTTGCCTGCACAATTTAGCCCACCCTCTTTGTTCTTTTCTCCCTTTTCTTTTGAGGAATCCGGGGTCATTGCTGAATCTCCTGTAGGCAGTTTGTGGAAATGAATGCAATGGGACACACTTGGGCCTGCAACAGAGGGTCTGGGAGCTGGAGGCATTGCTGTGTCCTTCTGCTAAAAGAAGACGGGAACATCTTCACTGCAAAGCCCATGTCAGCCTTGAGCAGCCAGATCACTTGCTCCCTTGTATGGGCCAGCCTTCCACTGCTGTGCATTGCTGGGCCCGCAGCATGGCACAGACGTGCAGAGGCTCTGTCAGGCCTCTGACACGCAAAGAGTGTGTCGGTGTACACAAACTGCGAGCCTCACTTCCCGCCTGCAGTGATTTCCCATAGCCTTGGCTTGGTGAACCAGGCTGTGCCCCATGTAGAGAAGACGACAGGATTTTCTCCCGCTCTGTCCATCCTTGTCCTGTTGCCCCTTTGCAGAATGCTACAAAAAGGAGAGTATCAGCTCTTCTCTGGCGTGGAGAAGGTAAGTCTGTAGCAGCATACCCTACGGTGAATACCCTTCTCCTCAGAAATCGCTCCATGTTGCAGTCTCCCACGAGGCAGTCCCAGTGCAGAGCCAAAGGCAGCCTTTTCCCCCCTTGAGATCTCCCTTTGGAGGAAGTGAAGAACAGTTACAGAATTCCTCTCTGTCATGCTACAACAGACACCAGGATGACAGGTCAGAAGCCTTTCCCATACCTGAGCAACATGACAAGCAGCACTGGGATAAGCAGAGAAGATTCCACATTGCAGCTTGCAGGATTGGGAGTCTGTGAGTGTGAGGATGTCTAGAGAGGAGACTCAGCTGAGGGGCACAGACAAACATGCATTCCTGAGCTCTCTTTCTCTTCCCTTCATTTGGTGCCTCTTTGTGCATCCCTGTGCCATGCACACACTCAGGCTGCCACACAGCGCCATCATGCTCCTGTGAAAATGCTTATCGCCCACCTACGCATACACACACACACACAGAGCAGGAAGTCAGTGGAGCAGGGTACATGCACCTTATGCCTGCATGCAGGTGTCATTCCCCACTGTTCCCAGCCAGCCAACTGCCTTCTCACATTTCAGGCTCTCTCTCACTGCCCTGCCCACCCGCAAAGAGACGTGTCTCTTCCTCTCTCAACCTTTCCTCTTCACACATCTCTGTGCCTGTGCTGCCACCACAGGAAGGTTGCTGGAAGGAGGTGGCCTTTCTCCATGGTTCACCACTGGTTCCTTGTGGCCATCCTGGCCCCTGTGGGTAAGTGAGTTTCCCTTCTGCTTGAACAGCTGCACTGGAGCCACTGCTGCTGCCACAGCTGTGTGCCTGGTTGCTGGCAGTGCCCCATTCCCCAAGGCTTCCAGGGGGAGGATGGGCAATGAACGAGGTGAGCTTTTCCTCAACATCTTAACTCAGAAAACTCTACAGATCTACAAATTTGTTTTTTCTGTCCCACTTCAACTGAGAGTACTGAAGTCATTATTTTTCAAAACAAATTTACTATTGTATTTGAAGATGGTTTGTGTTTTTTTTTCTCCTATGTCTCTCTCAGAGAAACGGGACACTGTCCCATAGCTTGCTGACATCCTTATGCCACCCCATCCCATGTCATACTTCAAGGATGTGTTTTTGTGTCCCCTTCAATGTGTTTCACTCCTCACATCTCTTCCCTTCTCTTTCCAGGCCAGGCCCTTCAGCAATCACCAGACACAGTTGTCCGAGTGGGAGACTCTGTGACTCTGAACTGTTCCCAAAAGGGGAGTGCAGTCTCAACCATGTACTGGTACAAGTTGCCCACGGGGAAGGATGCCACTCTGCAGTTGGTTGTATACTCAGTGGAAGGTGGTGTGGCAGAGATTGAGAAGGAATTCAGAAACCACTTCCAGAGTAATGGGACTAAGGACAAACGCTTATCTGTGGAGATAGATCATGCCCTACTCAATGACTCAGGCACATATTTCTGTGCTGAGCAAGACCCACAGTGACTCAAAAGCTGGAGCAGCATAGCAGAAACCTTTCCATGCAAACAGTGATCTGCCCCCAGCACACACACAGCCCCGTATTTGACAGTATCCCATTTTCTCCTCTTGCCCTCCAGCTCTGTCTACTTAAGGGAAGTGGTAGTATCATCTGTCTTCTGCCTGGTCTCTAATTTCTTTCCTATTCTTTCCCATCTCTGAATCACCTTTTGACCCTCCTTTCTTCTTGTACTCACTGCCTTGCCTCGTTTCTCTGCTATCCATAGACTGCCTCTCACTTTCCTCCTCTACTCTCTTTCCCCTTTCTTCTCTGTACTCTCTCACACCTGTTCCCTTCCTATTTCCTACATTGTCTTCCATTTCTTCTCCCTTTCAGCCTGTTATTCTAACTCATGGGTAAGCAGGATGTGGAACAGTTCACACAGCCCTTTCCTTCTCGACCAGCTGGAAGGCCAAGGCCAACCTGGAGTTGAATCTGGCAAGGGATCCTGGAACTGAGCACTCCTGTGTGTGCTCATGTGTCTATGAGATTCAAGGGTCTCCTGGGATTGCTCACACTGCGGTTTCCAAGACTACAGGTGCCTCACCAGTCACCCGGAGCTCAGCACGCTGCCGTGCATGAGGGTTCTGAGTTCTGGAGTGCTGGCAGCACCATGCCACTGAGCACTTCTATGTGTGCGCTTGTGCCTTGGTCCCACTGGTTTGCAGGGAATGGGCACGCTGCTGTGCACCAGGGTCCCCGAGTCATGCCGCTACCCTGTGACCTGAACACTCTGATGTATGCGATGTAGCCCAAGTCCCGATGGTATCCAGGGATGGAGCACAGTCCTGTAGGCGAGGAGCCCCAAGCCACAGCAGATACTCACAGCTACATCACTCCCTGAGCTTTTCTTCCTGCCCCCCTGCCAACCTTCCTTTCCTGTCTTCCTTTTTGCTTTCATTCTTTCCTAGCTTCCTGCCGCCCTTCCTTCCTTTTGTCCTGCCTTCTTGCCTTCCTTCTGTCCTGCCTTCTTCCTTGCCTTCCTCCCTTTCTGGCATGCCTTCCTGCTTCCCTCCTGTCCTTCCTTCCTGCAGCTTTCCTGTCTTTCCTCCTCACTTCCCACCTTCCTCTCTCCCGACCTTCTTTCCTTCCCTGTCTTCATCCCTTTCTTCAATCCCTTTCCTTCCCTTCATCCCTCCTTCCATCCTTCTCTCCTTTTTTTGCTGCTGCTGCCTGCCCGCCTGCCTGCTCTTCTCTCCTGCCCTCCTTCCTTCCTGTGTTTACAGCCTTCCTTTCTGCCTTCCTGACCTCCTTTCATCCACGCACTTTGGGATGCGTGTGAGGGTCCCAGCCTTCACAGGATCCCTGGATGTGATGGGGATTCAGTGGACGATGTTTCCCAAGCCCGGACAGTAGAAGAAGTGAGCACTCTGCTATTGCCTGTTCTCCAAGGCCCAAGCCAAGGTTGTAGCTCCAGAGAGAGCATGCTGCTGTGTGCGAGAGTCACCAAGTCCCAATGGTACACTGGTGCTTCCGTGGTGCTGCAGGTGATGGTCCTGGAGTGCCGCTGGTACCAGGAGAATGAACACTTTGCAGCATGCCCTGGTCCTAGAGCCTCACCAGTACCCCAAGACTGAGCCTTCTTTGCTTCAGTGTCTACCAGTAAAACCTGCCTTCAGGAATCCCAGGCCCTGAGACTAGACGAAAAGTCTAGAACCAGGAAGACATCCTCAGTGGAGGAGAACCAGGTTAGAGAGCACTTAAGCAAATTGGATGTACAGAAGTCCATGGAACCTGATGGGTTGCATCCACAACTGCTGAGGGAGCTTGCTGGTGTGATTGTGAGGCCACTCTTGATTATCATTGAGCGGTCATGGGCAGGGGGAGAGGTTTCTGAGGACTGGAAGAGAGTAAGTATCACTCCTATCTTTAAGAAGGACAAGAAGGAAGACCTGGACAACTATGGGCCAGTCAGCCTTACCTCAGTCCCTGGGAAGGTTATGGAATATACCCTCCTGGAAAGCACTTCCAAATACACGAGAGACAAGAAGGTGACTGGGAGTAGTCAGCAAGAATTTATGAAGGAGGAATCATGCTTGACCAACCTCATTGCCTCCTACAATGACACGATCAGCTTGGGGGACAATGGGAGAGGAGAGGGTCTTGTTTACCTCAACTTTGGTAAAGCCGTTGACGCTGTCTCCTGTAACACCCTCACAGAGAAGCAGGCAAATTATTGGTTATGTAAGTGGACAGTGCAGTGGATTAAAAACTGGCTGAACATGCAGTCCCAGAGGGTTGTGATCGGTGGCAGACGGTCCAGTTGGAAAACAGTCTGTAGTGGTGTACGCCAGGGGTTGATACAAGGATCAATACTGTTCAACATCTTCATTAATGACCTGTATGATGGGATGAAATACACCCTCAGCAAGTTTGTAGATGATACAGAACTGGGGGGGGAGGGGGTGTGTGGCAAGAGTGGCTGATACACCAAACAGTTGTGCCAGCATTCAGAGGGACATCAACAGGCTGGGGAACTGGTCAGAGAGGGATCTCTTGATGTTGAACAAGGGGAAGTGCAGGGTCCTGCATCTGGGGAGGAATAACCCAGGCACCAGTACACACTGCGGGCTGACTGGCTGGAAAACAGCTTTGCCAGGAAGGATCTGGGGGTCCTGGTGGACAACAAGCTGACCATGAGCCAGCAATGCACCCTCACAGCAAAAAAAAAAAAGGCCAACAATGTCCTGGGCTGCATTAGCAAGGGTGTTGCCACCAGGTCAAGAGAGGTAATCCATCCTCTCTGCTCAGCACTGGTGAGGCTCCATCTGGAGTGCTGGGTCCAAGGTCTGGGATCCCCAGTACAAGAAAGATATGGACTTACTGGAGTGGGTCTAACACAGGGACACAAAGCTGATTAAGGGACTGGATCATCTTTCATATGACAACAGGCAAAGAGAGACGGGACCCCTTAGCCTGGAGAAGACAAGGCTCAGGTGGGATCTTATCAATGTGTATAAATACCCGAAGGGAGATGTGAATGAAGATGAGGGAACCAGACTCTTCTCAATGGTGCCTAGTGACAGGACAAGAGGCAATTGGCACAAATTAAAACACATGAAACTCCATCCGACCATAAGAAAACACGTTTACCATTTTTTTACTGGGAACAGGCTGCCCAGAGAGGTTGTGCCATCTCCACCCTTGGAGATATTCCAAACCCGACTGGATACGGTCCTGGATAACCTACTTTGCCTAACCCTGGTTGAGCAGGGAGGGTTAGACTGTAGGATCTTGAAAGGTCTCTTCTGGATGGACCTACCCCATTCACTGGACAAGCTTAGGACCAGTGAATCAGGGAGCAGCTCAGGAGAGAAGGATCCAGGCCTGTGCAGGGCAACAGACTACGCCCAGTCAGCAAGGTGCTCTGTGCCAATAACCCACCATACCTTTGGCTCTGCTAGCCAGAATGGAGCTGTCAGGGCCAGGAGGGGCATCATTCCCCCACCCTGCTCCACACTGGGGAGGCCACAGCTGTGGACTGGAACCTTGTGTCCCCAGGACAAGGAAGATGTCTATCAGAGGTCTTAGAGACGGTGAGCACTGGAACACAGGGCAGGTGGGGAGAGGTTGAGGGTTCTGGGTTTGTCTGGCCAGAAGACGAGAAGGCAGGGGAGCATTAGTTGCAGCCTCTCATTTCCCAGAGGGAGCTGAGGACAGGTTAGAGACAGACTCTTCTTGGAGGTGCCCAGGAAAGGACTGACAGGTGATGACAAGCTGGGATGGGGAAATTCTGCTGAGGCAGAGGGACAAATCCTTTGCCAGAGGAGTGAGGCAGCCCTGGGACAGGGCCTGGTGCTCGAAGGAATGGTTTGCATCTGGGGAAGCTTTCCAAACTGCCCTGGTCCAGGCCCTGAGAGCCCTGCTCCAATTTTAAAGCCAACCCTTACCTGAGCGGAGGGCAGACTGGAAACCCTTGGATACCACCCCCCCAAGTACTTCTGTACGCCTTTGGTGTATTCCTCAGTGCAGTACAGCTTTCAAGAATGGGGGAATGTTTGGATGAGATGGTCTTTGTGGTACTCACATAGATTGCTGATTCTCCATTAAAGTCCTGCCAAGAAAGACAGATTTGTGTTAATCCTGTCTGGTGATGGGAAGAACAGGATAGAAAGTTACTGTCTGGGGAAGGAAGGTGCCCATTGTCCCTTTTCCCTATGCAGACCATTTCATGGTTCAGGTGTTACAGGTGAACACCTTTGCTGAAACCAGGTCTGGGGTTCTTAAAAAACCTCTGTGACTTCAAAGAGATTCTAGTGGGGTCCCATCACACAGGATTCCAGTCTTAGATGAGGGCCCCAGGATTTGTCCAATATGTGTCCTCAAGCCTTGACTTACGCCCAGTGCTCCTTACTCCATCACACAGAAGAGCTCAGCTCCCTTTCAGCCTTTGGGACTGCACTCCACTCTACCTGGACCTCTCTGGACCAGACCAACCCAGCCTGGCTGCCCCTGGCCCCCACTTCCCTTTGTCCCTTGGTCAGGATGGGATGGCTGTCCTCTCTGTGTCCCTTCAGGCAGGAGGTGGAAGCAAGGCCTGGGGTCTCTCCCACATGCCACATACGTCCTAGCCATTCAAAGCATTGTTGACCACGATCCTGCCGTTGAACCTGCCTTTGCCCTGGGAAGACAAATGGATGTCACCCTTTGCCCAGTGTGAAGCAGGGGCCACTCTATACCCCTGCCCAGGGCCAATGTTCAGCTACCAGCCCAAACCTCTGCCCACACAGGTCCAGCTTGGGAGATGACTGCTCTGCACTCATGTCACCAGGTTATAGGGCGCAGATAGCTTCCCCAGAGAAGGAGAGGTCATAATCCACTTGGGGATTAATCCCATAATCCCCCTGGGAAGTAATCCCATAATTCTTTTGGGATTAATCCTATTATCCCAATGAAAATAATTCTGTAATGCAGGATTGGTGAATGGAGTGCAGCTGTGTTCGATATTAGCAATGGACAAGCAAAT